CGTGAGAGGAATCACCACAATTCATGCATTTAGCTGGCATGTAGCAATTTTTAGTTCCGTGACCCCATCCCTGGCACTTACGGCACTGAGTGAGGTTTTGGAAATTTCCTCCAGTCTTCCTGAAGTGTTCCCACTTCACTCGGACATGGAGCATAAGGCTAGCTTTTTCTAAGGCCTTAAGGTTGTTTAGTTCACTAGACTTGAAGTGAACTAAATAAAAATCATTAGAAATCCCGTTGCGCGAATCGCCAGGACGGGATTTCATTTTCATTTTGATTACTTGGAGTGGCACAACTCCAAGTAATTTTGCCAGTTCATCTTTGATCTGATCCAGGGATTCACCACTGGGCAGTCCTTTCATGACAACCTTGAACACACGTTCAGTTTTGGTGTCGTAAGTAAAAAATTTGTGCTTCTTCTCAGTAAGATACTTGAGAAGACATTTAAATCCGTCCAAGGTTTCAGCCAATACACGGCATTCACCCCGACGTCCAATTTGTAGTGAAAACTTAACTTTCACGAAATTCAAAAGTTCCATGCGAAGAGCATGGAAATCGGTAGTGGTTATCACAATAGGGGGAATATTTTCCTTCTTGGCATTAAGCCGGGAAAGTTTACTTGAATTTTTCTTGGATGATGGATCATTCTCATCATCCGTGAGCAAATCAAATTGATTACTCAAATTAATTTCTTCAGAAGGGGGGTCAAGAGTTTGCCCCTTTCTTTTGCGTTTAGGCGCCATGGCGGCAGTAAATTTTTTATCCAAATCGACTTCCAAGCAGATTACTATAAGAATCTGAAGGATCGAAGAGGAATTTTCCAAATCGATATCCAAGAAGGATTACCTCGGGTAGGGTCCAAACAAGGATCGAAGAGGAATAAGAGGAGTTGAACAAGGTAGAAAATTTTTACAGGTTGAGCACTGAAAAGTGCTGTTTAAATTTGTTGTAGCTTTAGGTAGTAGTAACACTTCCTTAAGCAAAAAGCAAATAGATCCGCACGGCAAGAGAGCACGATGCGGACTGTTATCCGTCGACCTTGTTTTCCGTGCTGAGCACCAATGCTATCGACGTCAGGGAGGCAGCTCCCACACCTGGACCCTACCTATCGACCCATCAATCAACTCATGGAGATGTTATGCCTCAGAAAATCCCGGAGATGCCGACTGGGATTGAACCCAGGCCCTTTGGAGTGAGAGGTAATTACGCTTACCACTACACCACTGGTGCCATTAAAACTTAAATTCTAAAATTACTAAATAATAGTATTTCAAATCCTCCCAATAGGAAGCGCGATAAACAGTTACGGCTTAAGGACAAGGTTGATGGAATCCAAAGATAGCCATTGATATGGCTGATTTGCCTTGTTAAATCAATCATGATAGCAATCATATGTGGTTTCTATCAACCTTGCACTTAATTCGAAGATATCAAAGTTATGGTACTCACATTTATAAATTTCAACAAACAACATCATCAACGTGTATCGTTTCTACACTGAAGGTAATTAACCAGGGAGACTCAATCCCTGTCAACTACATATAGATGCACCATAGCTCACAAAATTTTGACATTTTTGAGCAATCTGACACTTTTGGACAAACTGACGAAACTATGCCAGAGCAAAACTTCTTAAGGGCCACCCACATTAGATCCGTTTGCGTTGCGTTGATGTAAATTTGACAGTTAGACGATAGATTTAGCTGTCACTTTGCCGCAACGTGTCCGATCCGGATCTAATGTGCGTGAGCCTTTACTCTTTCACACTTGCATTGCAGTGTTGAATGCTAGAGAGAGTAGTCTCTTGCAGTCATTCTACCTCCTGTATGCATCACATTGAAGAGAGCTACGATGAAATTTTTCCATTGTTACCCCCGTGGAATCAACCTGTTTATGAGATGTGAACGTGTAGCGGGGGCCTCCCTTAGCTCAGTCGGTAAAGGCGCAGCTACAAAGCAAGACCATGCTGGAGGTGGCTGGGTTCAATTCCTGGTCCGGTATAGGAATTTTTCGGGTTGGAAAATTTCTCGACTTCCCTGGGCATAGAAGTATGATTGGACTTGTCACACAATTATACCAATGCAAAAATGGTACAGGCATCGAAAGCTCTCAATTAATAACTGTGGAAGTGCATCTAGAACACTAAGTTGAGAGCACGCAATAAGCTAATATGCGATATGCAATAAGCTTGAAAAAGCGAAGAAGAAGAAGAAGACGTGTAGCAAAAACATAAATAAAACATGATGTCAATCTTCCAGCCGTAAATAGGAATACATTAATAAATTTAAAGGAGAAGCAGAGTTTATTCTGGAGGATCTGGAAAAATATTGATGCAATGCAAAACAAATTTCGTAAAGGTCACCAAGCTTCTTAGAATTTCAGAGATCTTTGCATCAGTTTAAAGAACGTCGTAGCAGTTTGTCAGAGATCGTAGTTCAGAAAAGCTCAATGAAATTTTCGGAAGTTTTGGGAACTTCGTGAAACTCCAGATAACTTTCCAGATATACGTAAAAATGATGAGAATCATTCCGAAAGTTTTGAAATGGTTCAAAGATGTTCAGATAGATCTTAAGAAAACTTACAAAACAATAATTATGGAACATGAAATAAGTTCATGCACCTTTGCAGATGTTGGGAAAAGTTTTCTAGAAGTTAATGGAATTTGGTTGCTGTTCTGAAAAAATTGTATTAGCAATAGAAAGTTTTTCAATTTAATAAACTTGATTTAAATTCAGTGAACTTCCAAGAAATGTGAGAAACTTTGTATGAACCATGAATCAATCGTAGAAGTTCAGGGAACTTCGTAGAAGTTCAGGGAACTTCGTAGAAGTTGATGGGAATTCCCAAAAAATCGTGACACTATTCACGAGTTGAAGAAATTTCATAGAAGCTACGGAAGCTTCGGATTGGAAAGATTCTCGAAGCACTTCGTTTGAATTCATGACCCTGACTATAAGCTCAAGAAAATTTGTGGAAGATTAGGATCTTTCGTAGAAATACAAGAAACTTCGTAGAATTTTAGATAATTACATTGATATTCACGGATTTACGATAGGATATCAATAATGTCCTGTAGATATTTCTCAAGACTGAAAGAGGAATACCTGCAACTGTTCAAACATTCAAATGTCGTGTCATATCCAGGGAATCAAGAAAATCCTATAGGGTTAACTACCCCATTTCTGGCCTACTACGCACAACCCGCACTAAGTCTTTCTTAATCTAGCGCAGTTTAGCACCAAACGGAATGTTATTATTACTGATGGCTTTCAAATTTATTTACCTTTCCGTATGTACCGTAAGATTTGATAAAGAGAAACCAATCGTTGAGATATTGTCAAAAGTCTAACACTGCTTCTTGATGCCGAATTCGGCCTATGGATTCTAAACTCGGCCTAACACACTGAAACGCCAATGAACTCACTTCGGCGTATCGGATGAAGATGAAACATGATTCGGTCGGAGCGCTTCTTTTGTTTTTGGGAATAATGGGGGCAAACCTTCATACCACGCGTTCTCATTGACTCTGATAGCTTATTAGCTAAAGTATCGTACCAAACGCATAATTGACTTGTTTACTCTGAAATCATGGACTTATTTGAAGTTTGCCGCTCGATAGGCCCAAAATGGGCGATTAGGCCGAAGTAGTTCTCTACCCTACTCAGATCCTTACCGACGATAAATACACTAGTAAATGGAATCATGATCAGTGTACATCTGGGATCAGAGATTATCAATTCCACTGATATGATCAAAATTTCGGTGTAATGTATCTCGAAATCTAGGAACTTGCTGACTTTCGCAAAGTTGTTCTCGAGGTTAAATACCCTACAATATGGATATTTTACAAACTGGGATGACATGTAGATGGCGGCCGTTGGTTTCAGCAAAACTGTCAAATACCCTACATTATGGATATTCTTGGAACCAGGATGATGTGTATAGGCCGAAAATCGATATCCGTTGCAATTTTTAAATCCAAGATGTGAGGCCATTAGTTTTAGACAAAACTTAATTGGTCATCTCTGTTCTGAAAATACCCATATTGTAGGTTATTTTACAAACATTATGCTGAAAATCTTAAACCGTCAAAACATTTAAATGTCGACTCTTTGATATTCGTAAATGGTAGATTGATCAGGAAGTATTCAAAAGATCTCCATCTATTCTTCTAAAAATTCATTTAAATGCTGTGCATATTTTTGTTATATTTAATAGAAAGATCAAATGGGGCTATCGTATCAAATAGGACCAAAACTCAAAAATCACCGATGAGTTTTCAAGTTCATAACACAATGCAATGATTATATTTTGGCGTTATTGTTTTTTCATCAGTGCATAGTATTTATTGACGTTTGAGGGGTTTTTATAAGTATTAAGCTGGAATGATTTTTTGGCGCGTGAGTGTGTGTGTACATTGGTTTGCCACATTCGCCGATCACTTTAATCCCCATACAAATCAGTTGTGAAGGTCTGATCTCCATCACAGGTTGATAAATTCAATGTTTCTTTCTTTTTTTCTTGGATCAGTCTATCGATCAACTCCCCCTGCAGGACCGTTCGTTGGCTCCTTCCCAGCAGTAGCAGCAGCAAACAGCAGTGTGGTGATGTTTATTTTCTTCGTTTTTCTTATTCATAAAAATCCGGTGATGATGGAATCATGTGTGTACTACACATTGGCGCTTCTTCGCATTTATTGAAGGGGAACTGTGTGCGCGCAGCCAGGAAGCACTCGAGAGCACTGTAAAATTGATTGAAACTTCCTTTTGACTCATTTTCAATTTCACCTTCAATCACATTTTCATAACATTTCACCAACAAATTGCCTTGCCTTTCTGATGCAGCACATTACACACTCACACACACACACATTAACGGGAAACTATTCCTGCAATAATTTTCAATAGTGCACCCAGCCGCCGCCGTTCATAAAACCGCACACGCACATATCTCGATGACGGTGTGCAGTCGTGCGTGACGCGCTCCCCTCGCGACACTCACTTAACTAAGCCGGCTTAGTCAGCCAGTAAGTCAACGGGCGCGAACGGGACGGGTTCCCCGGGAAAAATCGATCACGAACCGCGTGCACCAGAAAAGGACCGAGAGCACAACAAAAACACTTTTCAAAGAACCGCGCGTGGGCTGGAGGTCGATGGAGGAGGAGGAATGCCGCCGGTTCCGCTCGCTTGAGTACAATTCGGATATTCGTTTTTGGGTTTAAGCGCGTCCGTTCGATCCGACCGATCTGCTACGACTGAAGATCGGGATGAACCGTTTGGCCGAGTTGACGGGAAAGGCATCTGTCAGGCATGCGCATTTGGTGAAAATTGTGTGATGAAGTGGGATAATCCTTCCCCATTCGTATCGATAGTTGGGATGAACGAAATCAAGCTAAATAGCTCAAGCTGGTATCGAGTGAAGTGTGATGAATTACTGTGATGTCACTTTTTACGCGAATATTTGGAGCTCTCACCTTTTACCTTTAATTACCAGTCAGATTTGTCACGAAAATGAACCACAGCTGGCACGCACGTTTTGGTTCCAGTACTTTTGGGTTCCAGCGATGCGTCTAGGCTCTGATATTGAACAGATTTTTCACGCATGGTTCCTTTTAACCTATACAGTGATACAAAAAAAAATGTTTCATTCTTTCTAAGAGATTTCAGTTTCTAGAAGATAACACACGAATTTATAAAGATTTATGGCATGCTCCATTTTCGCGTCCATGGTTGCTTGAAATTGAAAATGAATGAAATTTTAAATCCTTCTATCAATACAAGCTGATATTTCTACACACTTTAAAACAAAAAAAAACTTGAACATATATCCATTTTACCCATTGGAAATTTCATATTTGTGAAATCGTTTCTCAGCAACTGCGAAATCGAATTAATTTTTCTTCAACCCAAGTTTAACATTGCAAGTTTTATCACGGTTTTAAAGCATGCTACAAGTCTAATGCATAGTCTACAGAACCCTCATAAAACCCTAATTGATAGTCTCAATAAAACACTTAAATCTGACTGACAGCAAACGATGACGAAATATTGAGGCATTGATGTCAAAGTCAAATAGGTCAGATACTTCGTTGAATTGATGAATCATGGCAACAAACGAACTGTTTGTAGCATAATTGGTTGTAGCAAGGCTCTCGGACGGACTGTTCGGGCAGGAGCATACAGATTAATTTTGACCAGTAACTCAGGAACATCAAATTCTGCGAGCAAGACTGTCACGACGAGACCCCTCATCGCGGCGGCGCTGCAAACGCTACGGCCTGCGCCGACACTTCCCGTTTCCTCCGTTTGAACACTGTCGCAAACACAAATCGCAGCGAGACAGGTTTTAGGAAAAGATCTGCCGGTTTTCAGTGGAAATCCGGAAGACTGGCCCATTTTCATCAGTAACTTTGAGCAGTCTACGGCCACAGCTGTGGTTACTCGGATGCAGAAAATCTGGTTCGCCTTCAACGGTGCTTGAAAGGAAACGCCATGGAGTCAGTGAGAAGCCGATTGCTCTTGCCAGCAAGAGTACCGCACGTCGTCCAGACCCTGCGTACTCTATTCGGAAGACCGGATCTCCTCATTAGGTCGTTATTGGGCAAAATCGTTCAAATCCCTCAACCGAGACACGACCGGCTAGAAACAATCATGCACTTTGGTCTTGCAGTGCAAAACCTGGTCAACCATCTCAAAGCAGCACAGCAGTTCAACCACCTTGCGAATCCGGTACTTATGCAAAAACTGGTAGAGAAACTGCCAGGTTCGCTGCGACTCGATTGGGCAATCTACAAAAACCAGAATCAGCCCGCAACACTCGACACCTTTGGTGAGTTTATGTCAAGATTGGTGACAGCAGCAAACGAAGTTTCCTTCACCCTCCCAGGATTAAGCTCCACTCAAAGGTCTGTCATATTCACGGAAACCCGGAGCAACAAACAGAAGGATGGAAACATAGCTAATCAAGCTCACTCCGCAGATTAAACTCCAAGTCCCACGTCAACCAGTACCCCCACTAACACTCAACCAGGAAGGCAATGTGTATCGTGTGGACGAGCGGGCCATCGAGTGGCTGAATGTCATCAGTTCAATGGTGCCAGTGTGGATGATCGTTGGAAGCTAGTTCAACAAAAAGGACTCTGCAGAACATGCCTCAACAGTCACGGCAAGTGGCCATGTAGATCCTGGAGCGGTTGCGGTGTCAGCGGTTGTCGTCAGAAGCACCATACTCTACTGCACTCCACCACACCTTCCGAGCGGATGAATGTTTCTTCTAGCCACGTAACATCCGGTGATTTGCGGTGGCCCCTTTCCCGCATTCTTCCTGTCATTCTACATGGCAAAGATACCTCCCATACAATCTACGCCTTCATCGACGAAGGGTCGTCTTACACTCTCTTGGACGAATCTGTTGCGAGACGGTTTTGTGTCGGCGGGAAATCAGAAACACTCACTCTGAAGTGGACCGGAAACGTGACACGAGTCGAGCCAAAGTCACAATGTGTACAACTCGACATCTCCGGCAAAAGTACCAATGCCCGACACACACTTCACAATGCTCGTACGGTTAGCTATTTCATTCTGCCTACGCAAAGCATGAAGTATCTGGACCATTCAAAACGTTTTCCTCATTTACGTGGTCTCCCACTCGACGGCTACGAGTCGATCGAGCCCAAATTACTCATTGGTCTTGACAACCTGAGATTATGCGCCCCTCTAAAGCTACGAGAAGGAGGGCCATCCCATCCTGTCGGTGCAAAATTTTGGCTGGGGTGGAGCATCTATGGCTACGTTCCAAACCAATCGACCCAATCAACGATTGTCGGCTTCCACATCGGAACTGTATCCGATCGTGAACGCGAGTTAAACGAACAGCTTCGTGACTATTTCACCCTCGAGGATGCTGGAGTAGCTGAGCCACGTCAAGTTCCTGAGTCGACTGACGAGAAGCGTGCAATCCAACTGCTTAAGGAGACAACCCGACGCACGCCTGCCGGCTCGAACTTCGAAACCGGCCTGTTATGGAACACTGACAACCCTAACTTCCCAACAAACATTGAATGTTGAATAAGAGCTTATTCAAGCAAAAACAAGCTTCTTCAGCTAAAAAATTGCTTATTCAGCTGTTGATCAACTCAAATTGTTTTTTGGGTTTCCCGACAGTTATCCCATGGCTGTCCGACGTCTGGAGTCACTAGAGCGTCGGCTTCAACGAGAACCAAAGCTACAAGATCGTGTACGTGAGCAGGCTCCTGGAATGTGAAAGGAAAGGTTATGCACACCGGGCGAGTTTGGCCGAATTGACTTCTGTTGAGGCAAGCCGAGTGTGGTGTTGTGACCAACCTCAGAAAGCCTGGGAAAGTTCGGTTGATCTGGGATGCGGCAGCCAAGGTGGGTGAAGTCTCTTTCAACTCCCGACTCCTGAAGGGACCCGATCTACTGACTCCGCTTCCGACAATCTTATACCAGTTCCGTCAATATCCAGTGGCGGTCAGTGGCGATGTCATGGAAATGTTCCACCAACTCAAAATGCGTTCACCTGATTGCCAGTCGCAACGCTTCGTATTCCGTCCTCGCCCAACAGACCTACCACAAGTCTACGTCATGGATGTCACCACATTTGGATCGTACTGCTCACCGGCATCGGCGCAGTGCGCAGTTCGTCCACGAGTATCCGAGAGCTGCAGCAGCCATCAAAAACAAACATTATGTCGATGACTACTTGGACAACTTTGAGATGATCGAAGAGGCGATTGCAGTGGTGAACGAGGTTAAACTGGTACACTCCAAAGGAGGTTTCACTCTCCGGCGCTTCCTGTCTAACGAACCTGAAGTCCTTCAAGGAATAGGTGAGGAGGCTGAAGTTGAAGTTAAAAATCTACATCTGGAACGTGATGGGAAGTCCGAGTCGGTATTGGGGATGAAATGGATTCCAAACGAGGACGTATTCATCTATGCCTTCGGTATGCGAGAAGATCTGCAGTGCATTCTGAACAACGACCATGTTCCTACCACGCATGCGGTAGCGTGGGTGGTCATGAGTCTTTTCGATCCGCTCGGCCTCATCGCCTTCTTTCTGGTCCATGGTAATATTCTGATCCAGGAGCTCTGGGCGATAGGAATAGGGTGGGGCCAAGAAATTCCCCACAACATCAACGAACACTGGCGACAATGGGCTGACTTACTTCAGCAGCTAGATCTACTACGCATACCGCGATGCTATTTCCATTCATCGAAGGACTACGCTCGTCTGCAAATCCACCTCTTCGTCGATGCAAGCGAAACTGCCTATGCTTGTGCAGTATACTTCCGTTTGGAAACCGATCGTGGTGCAGAGGTGGCGTTTGTTGGAGCTAAAACGAAGGTAGCATCGCTGAAGACACTCTCAATTCCTCGACTCGAGCTGAAAGCAGCGGTTCTGGGCATCCGTTTGATGGAAACTATCCAGAGGTATCACACGCACACGGTCAGTCGGCGCTACTTCTGGAGTGATGCAAACACGGTTCTCGCGTGGGTGCGCTCAACCGACCATCGTCGTTACCACAAGTTTGTTGCCGTTCGGGTTGGCGAGATCCTGTCATCTACACAACAGTCGGAGTGGCGGTGGGTACCGTCTATGCATAACGTTGCAGATCTTGCCACCAAGTGGAACAATGGTCCGCAGATGACAATGGAGAATCCCTGGTTCCGAGGACCGGCCTTCCTATACGAGCCGGAAGAACATTGGCCTAAGCAGCGAACGGTTACTCCAACTGAAGAAGAACTCCGTCCTACCCATTTCCACGCCGTCCACTTTGCTCCAGCTATGGTGTTCAAAAGATTCGATCGATGTACTATAATGCATCGCGTAGCAGCGTATGTCTTTCGCTGCATCGAGAACTTCCGCAGACGTCGAACGAAAGATAATATGGAACTCGGCAACCAGCGACGAACTCCAACGGGCCGAAAGGGCACTTCTGAAGACGGGTCAAAGCGAGTTGTATGCAGAAGAAATCGCCATACTCGTCAAGACTCAAGGACCACCAGAGAATCGCCGTGCCATAGTGGATAAATCCAGCTCTATCTACACTAAGTGTCCGTTCCTGGATGAGAACGACATTCTGCGCAGCCGTGGCCGAATCAGTGCTGCACCATAAGCACCAACCGAAGGTAAGTTTCCGATCATTCTTCCCAATCAACACCTAATTACTTTCCTCATTGTAGACTGGTATCATCGCCGCTTCCGTCACGCCAACCGAGAGACCATCTTCAACAAGATTCGCCAACGCTTCGAGATCTCTGCACTGAGACGACTGTTGGATAAAGTCGAACGAGCGTGTGCATTCTGCCACCTAACGAAGGCGATTCCAAGACCACCAGCAATGGTTCCGCTTCCCGAGATGCGATTGACAGCTTTCATCCAACCCTTCACATTCACTGGGTTGGACTACTTCGGGCCAGTGCTCGTAAAGGTGGGCAGAAGCAACGTAAAACGCTGGGTGGCCCTCTTCACATGCCTCACGATTAGAGCGGTGCATATGGAGGTAGTTCACTCACTAAGTACTGAATCGTGTATTATGGCAGTGCAACGCTTCGTGGAACGTAGAGGCATACCGAGGGAGTTCTGGACCGACAACGCCACCTGTTTTCAAGGCACCAGCAACGAGTTGAAGGCGAAAGGAAAGCAACACACAAAGCTCTCTCCGAAAAGTTCACTACCGCGGAAACCACTTGGAAATTCATCCCACCAGCGGCACCACACATGGGAGGTGCGTGGGAGCGACTCGTACGTTCGGTGAAGGTGGCGATTGAAGCAGTTCTAGGCGGTCCGCGAAAACCAAACGACAAGACATTAGAGACTATTCTCTTGGAAGCGGAGGGAATGATCAACTCCAGACCACTTACCTTTATCCCATTGGAGTCTGCGGATGAGGAGGCCTTGACACCCAACCATTTTTTGCTGGGAAATTCTTCAGGGAAAAAATTCCTATCCACCGAGCAGCTGGATAGCAGCTCAACGCTTCGAAGCAGCTGGAAGTTGGCAAGGTACATCACCGAGGATTTCTGGCACAGGTGGCTCAAGGAATACCTTCCCGTAACCACGCGAAAAAGCAAGTGGTTTAAGGACGTGAAGGATTTGGCGGTAGGCGACTTGGTGTTGGTGGTTGATGGAACGGCGAGGAACCAGTGGATACGGGGAAGGATCGAGCAGGTCTTCCCAGGACGGGACGGCAGAGTATGGCAAGCGTTGGTCCGGACATCTTCGGGGATTCTACGTAGACCAGCAGTGAAGTTAGCTGTATTGGACGTCGAGTTTAACAGTAAACCCGGGTTCGGTACCCCAGACCTTTCGAACCCTCACCAAGGTTTACGGGCGGGGGTATGTCACGACGAGACCCCTCATCGCGGCGGCGCTCCAAATGCTACGGCCCTGCATTTACGGTGAATCAAATGACAGTGGGAAACGTCACCGGTGGAACTTAGAATAACGTCAAACGAAAAGAGGAAAAACAAACACGAAGAACAAAAGTTGACATAGTTGTTGATCTATTATTATCCTTATTATATTATTCTACTTATCTAATATTCACATTATGTGCCGTATAGTGCTTAAATCTAATCATAAATTATAAACACTGTAAGTACGGATGAAATTAACGGAAATTGAATTTAACGCTAGTATTAAATTAAAATTATTGTACGGTCTAAATTGAAGAAGTAGAGTGGGAATTCGAGCCATACCACTTCCAGAGCAAGTACACCAAATTTGTAAGTCTTAATAATAAAATTAATAAGTTACGCATCTTTACTGAAATAAACTCTAAATTGCAGCTTTAAGCTATCAAACACACAACCCACGAAGTCTAGCTATAAAGAGTTGGTAAACTCATCCCAACAAGACTTTAGCAACGAAGACGAGCTGTGATACGTTTCGTCGCTCAGAAAGAGTATCCAAACCCAGTAAATGACAGCGGTCAGCATACGGTGGTAAATTCAGCGGGTCACTCCAAGGAAAATTGCGCAGTGTGTATCTAACGAATTTGCGTTGAACAGCTTCGAATCGTCCACTCCATACTGCTTGGTAGGGATTCCAGACAACACACGCGAATTCCAGTAGGGAGCGTACCAATGAACAGTAAAGGGCTTTAAAACACAGAGAATCACGAAATTCCTTAGAAATCTTGAACATGAATCCAAGCTGACGATTTGCTTTGTCAATCGTGGTTGAGAAGTGGCGAGTGTATGTGAGCTTTTCATCCAACATAAAAACGAGGTCTTTGACGTGATCGTCACGTTGAACTGCAGTCCCAGCGACGTTATAATCAAACAAAACGACAGTCATAGTTCGACGGAAACTAATTACGCAGCACTTTGAGACGCACAGGACCATAAAATTACGTTCACACCAATCATTAAAGATTTCAAGAAGGTTTTGTAGTTCTAAACAGTCAGCATAGCCTCGAACAACTAGGTAAAACTTCAAGTCATCGGCAAAAAACAATTTACCTCCACGCAGTTACATCGTTCACAAATAAAGAGAAGAGCAGTGGTCCCAAAGTGCTACCCTGTGGAACTCCTGATCTGTTCGAGAAACAGTACGATGCGGAGTTTCCAATGCATTCAGTAACTTCACGTTGCACGAGATACGATCTAAGCCAGCTACAGAAGGAAGCAGAACATCCAATTTTTTAGAGCTTTGCTAGTAGAACGTCATACACAAACCTATAAAACGCAGCTTTAAGATCAGTGTAAATATATGGCATCCACTTGAAGTTTCTTGCATACATTTTCCATACAGAACGACGTAAAGCTGACTACATTCGTTCCCACGGAGCCACCAGGAAAGAAGCCATGTTGACATGTTTGCAGGAAGCAAACAATCTCTCATTTATCAGCGCCTCAAATAACCTAGATTCAACCTCAAGCGAGGTAATCCCACAGTAGTTTTCCACATTGCGTTTGTCTCCTTTCTTGAAAACAGGGAACATAGTAGAGCGTTCCCATAGTGCGGGAAATTTCCGCTGACGAAGTGACAGGTTGAAGAGCAAGGACAACGGAGCAGCTAAGATATCGGAGCACCAGATGGAATAACGCTCGGACCTGGTGAAACTGATGATTTGGTTTTACTCATCACAGAGAGAACCATTTGTACATCTACGGCAAAACATCCATGTTTACGACGTCGGTTGACACATCACGGCGGCTCGCTCAATTTCTGCTTGCGATGGGGAGTCATTCGAGAAGCATTGTGAAACTATTGGCTTTACAATGGCAGAAACCAAATTAAAGCAGTATTTTCAGTTTCTAGGTAACATCATATCTCGAACGTATCATGCATTTATAAGTCAATTAGCATGGGAGTAGACTTATGTCCAACCACTTCTCGTTAGATGCATATCTCCATAGAATAAACCTCTTGGACAGCGACATCTGTCGGTGTGGAAACAGTTCCGATGACATAGATCAAGCAGTTTGGCAATATAATGAGCGACTTTTGAATACACTCGAGGCACAAGGCCCTCCCTTTCAAAGACGTGTTGGGAACTCGCAAGCTCTGCTATATGCAGTCGATTTATGTGTTTTGCAAATGTCTAGTAGGTATACAAATTTAATTCTTTTGTATTTTGTCTCTCTTCAGTTTTTATTTGTCTTGTCCTCCCATCTCGATGCGGCTCATCGTCGTCCACTGGTCACCATGACCGGTCGAATTCCAGACAAATCTAGAACCCCAATACCGTTCGTACTGCCGATAATTCGGCCCAACTACTACTATATATGTCTAGTGAATGTCTAGCGTGAATTTTGTTAAAAATAATGAACAATTAATTATTGGTTCCGTAAAGCTAACGCGATTGAGCCTTCCCAATAAACGAACAATAAATAAAAAAAACAACAAGAACAGCCCTATGGGGTTGTACGCAATGGTGACATAAGACTATGTTGTCTTAGCATTAGCATTAGCATTAGCATCGAACAAGTTGCACAATATCGTAGGTGGTACGAATTCAAAACTATTAAGAGCAAGACGGATATCTATTACTGGACAGATAGTAAGTAGGAAGTAATTACTATCTCCCAGATAAAGACATATCCCGCTCCAACAGTTAAGGATTGTCCTGGCCACGTCCTTACAACTGGTAGGGATAGGAAAGGTATGTTAGTCCAACATTTACTTAAGAGAGATGCAGAGAACTCTACGACCCCTCATAAATGTCTCGGGAATTTAGGAATTATGTTAGTAGGGAAGGTAAGCCATAGGATACACCCAGTCAGTGTTGCTGGCATATGTAGTTTTTTTTTATTAATGTTGAAATTGCTGTCCGGATCATCTGCTGAAAGATAAGGTTGCTGAAATAAAATGAAAATATAACATAGTGAACTCGCCATCGTTGGGTGACATAAGACTATGTTGTCTTATATAATAAATGTTATTTGTTAACTGCAGCAGAAGCTTGTATTTTGTGTAGGAATAGGAATTTGAGCGAGGTTCTCTCTGTTTATACTTTTTAGTATGCGGCCTATGATTGCCCTAAAATGAATCTTTTGATATGGATTTTAGTTGGGCAGTTGACGGCAGTTGAGAACAGCCTTGATAGCTAGCTGCTTGGCGGGAAGCCTATCGTTGGGTACTGGAGAACAGCACCACGCACCACGCGGTGATTGAATAAAAACCTTTGTAATACTATTTTGTTCATCGAAATGTTTTACGATCCCTGTCACTGATTGTCATTAGATTTACGATACACCATACGTGACGGTTAGAATGAGAGTGCGCTTTATTTCATTTGGTTAACTTATCCTAAGGTACCATTTTGGAGGCACTTGAAGTTTTATGTATTAATTAACCAATAACCAAACGATGGGTTATGGGAGAGACTTCACAGTCAGCATTAATGCGCTGCCGGTGGGTTTGGAACAGCCATAGTATAATCAAGGGCGTAGCCAGGTTTCGAGCTAGGGAGGGGCGAAAAAAATTACTATGGAAAATTTTACCGAATGCCATTTCACCGAAAGCTTTTGTGTTGCTGAGTTTAGCGGGGAGTCAGTTCCACCCCCACTGCCCCCCTCTGACTAAGTCTATGAGTATAATGACTCTGAAATATGATTCTTTTGTTTTGTAGTACAACGTCTAATTGTGACATACCAGTGCAATGGACCGATGACTGACGAGGGTTATGGAAGAATTCGACCCTTATAAGTATAACGCTATGAGTTGGGTCTGCTATCCATAGTATGTTAGATTTAAACATAGGGGAACTGACATCCGATTGATGACCTTGACAAATGCCTAAAAACTACTCTTGAACAAATGTATGCTGGTACTAAAAAGATGATAATGCTGAGCTATTAGGGTGTTGAACACAGATGAGGCTGGTGAGCTGATTGTTGTTTGGAATGAGGGTGACGCGCTTAGCATAGATGGCCCACAGCGGCTCACGAAGAGCTACTGATTCCGATCAATGGCGGTGCGGCTTCTTCCTCCTTCTATAGATGCTCATGTGGGCTGCAGCTCGCTGCTTGCAGGTAGCCTTTCGTTGTGTACTGGAGAGAAATGTTCAACGCCACGCACCGAAAGCACTGCTGCTGCTGATGCCGACGACCACACACGGTGATTGGAACTGAATCCGATCAGCGGTTGAGGGCAGCCTTGATAGCTGGCTGCTTGCGGGGAGCCATTTGTTGTGTACTCTAGAACAACACCACTCATCACGCGGTGATTGAATAAACACTGTTTGGTGAGACCGGATGGAATTCAACTTTGAAATCTGTGTTAGAGAAATCGCTTTTCGCAGTCAATCGGTAATAATTTTAATTATAATAGCATCAGTTGCACATTCGTGCAATTTTCAATAGTGATAATTCAAAAAATTATAACCGATGTGTATGTATGTCTACTATATTACTGATTGATTGGTGATAAAATTATTGAAATTGGTCCAGGGGCAGCTGAGTTATTAACGTTCCAAATCTTTCAAAATTTCGTTACATGTTCCATTTTTGGTTTTCATAAAGTGTACCCCCATATATAAATCACAGACGTCAAAAAGTTATTTGGCATAACAATAAATCATAATCCGAAATTTCATGTAAACCTCTCCTTCCCCTTTGAGTGATTTTTCGATTATCAAAAAACTCAAACTTTCACAAATTCGCAGTGATACAGACTTATGCAGATTTTTGAGGCTGAACATATAAAATATTTATGGAGAGCCGAAAATACAGATGAAAAATATGGTATCACTGTTTGCGGCATCCGATTGAGCCCAAATTTGGCACAGGGCCTTTCGATTCAATAAACATTTTATATGGTCGATTTGGATTATTCGATGGTAACATTTTTGCCATACGTTCATTGGCAACTCCTTTTTATGAAAGGTAAGAAACCCGAATTAATAGCATTAATACATTTTTTTTTATAATTTTGTCTTCATACTTTTGAAATAACGGGTGTTTAATAAGAAATGAGAATGATTTCAATACCTTTATGTAATTAAAGTTATTAAAGTAATTAAAGTAGCGTCGTACCGCTGACCAGAGCCCCTTCTCCAATATTCATTGACGTTTTTTTGAAGAATAAACATTATGTTTTTAATAAAAAATACTGAATTCTTTGAAAAAAAAATTGTTTCTACTGGCTATATGACTGAAGAAATTCTAATTTTTTATTGAACATCCGTTATTACTCCTCTCGAAACTTTATTCATCCTTCTCTTCCGAACTAGATCTTGTTATCTAAAGGTACATGAACATCGCTAGTTTCTTGTAGAAACACACCATCATAGAGCGACGGCAGCATAAAGCCGGTTCAACACAGACGAAGTGATCATTGATCATCAACTACCACTAATACACATCTTGAAACATATGTTTCAGACAATGAACAGCCAAAAGACGATCGAAAGGAAAGAACGAAGAAACCACTCTTTTCTAGCCATTGCGATTTCGCTCGTTCATCAATCAAAGCGTATTAGCAGCTGCAGGTCAGTTGCAGTGCAGATTTCGGTCAATCAACTGTGGTTTAATTCATAAGCATTCCGTCCTACCAGAATGGTAAGTTTATCGATAGACTCTTTTACTATGAAGAAAGTAACAAACGTTCAATTTTAGAAGCCCTTATGGCCGACGCTTACGGCTGTAATCGTTGCACTTCTTGGAAAGGCCCCCAGCGTCGATGGTGCCAGAATTTTGCTCGTCTCTTCCTTCCCCGGGATGAGCCACTGGTTGACGTTCGAACATGTGGTGAATGAACTGCTCGAACGGGGACACGAAATCACCGCTATAACAAACTACCGGCTTCAGAACTCGAATCACACCGATCGTTACCGGGAGGTGCTGATCGAACCGATGTTCGATTTCGAAACTGATCTTCCGATGGAGTCGTACTATCGTACGTCGTCTTTTACGAATCCATTTTACAAACTGAAGATTCTGTGGTGGCTTGGACTGGCAACGACTCGACATGCTTTCGAGAGTGAAAACGTGCAACGGTTCATGCGTGAGGATGGCTTGAGTTTCGATTTGGTGATTGCCGAGCAGTTTGCCCAGGAGGCTTTTCTGATGTTCGGTCATAAGTACAAGGCTCCGATCGTCACCATTAGTAAGTGTGAATGCTCCAATGCCAAATGCATTCAAGACGTTCACTTTTATTTCATTACAGACACGTTAGGTTACACCGATTACATTGACCGTTCGTTTGGGATGATAACGCCGTTGTCATTCGTGCCCCATTTCTTCACGGAGCTCACCGATGAAATGAACTTTTACGAACGCTGCTTCAACGTGGTACTGACGATTTATGATTGGGCCTATCGGAAGTTCGTGTACCTACCGAAACACAATTCCATGGCAAGGCAGTACTTTAGCGATCGGAAAAATCCATCGATAGCTTTTCCTTCAGTGGAAGAACTGGATCGGAATGTGAGCGTGATTTTGTCCAATAATCACATCACGTCGTTCAGGCCAAGACCGAAGATGATCGGAATGGTTGACATTGCTGGACTCCATATAAGACCACCGAATGGTTTGCCGCAAGACATACAGGTAGCTTTGAATGTAATGTTTGAAATTTCCAATAATTTTCCATCCATAAATTTTAGAAATTCCTCGACTCGTCCCCATCCGGAACCATCTACATTAACTTTGGAACGTTCCTCCGCAGTTCGGCAATGCCACGGGAAACACTGGACGTATTCCTTCAGGTATTTCTAAATCTTCCACAGTACAACTTCCTCTGGAAATGGGAAACTGATCAATTGCCAGATCTTCCCCCGAACGTCCTTCTGCGGAAGTGGATACCGCAAAATGACGTCCTCGTCCACCCGAACGTGAAGCTTTTCGTCACCCATGGTGGCATATTCGGTGCCCAGGAAGCCGTCTACTGGGCCCGTCCGATGCTGTTTGTTCCCTTCTACGGCGATCAGCATGGGAATGCGCTGAAACTGCAAAAGGCCGGAGTTGGACTGACGATGAACATTGCGAACGTGACGGTCGACGAGTTTCAGGGAAAGGTACGGGAAATTGTGGAGAATCCCAGCTTCCAGCACAGTGCGAATCGACTGTCACGGTTGTTTAGGGACAATCCAACCGATCCGCTGGAGGAAGCCGTTTTCTGGATCGAGTACATCATTCGACATCACGGGGCCAGTCATCTGAAGTCGGCTGCGGTGAGGATGCCATGGTATCAATATCTGCTGTTGGATGTGGTGGCTGTAGCGGTTGTTGTTTTATATGCTATTGCGTGGCTTTTAAAATGCGTCTTTATTAAAATATGCGGTCTCAAACAAGATTCTGATAAGGAGACAGAAAAGAAGAAGAAGCTTTGAACAGTAGGATGATATACATACGAATAGGGGAAAGTGGGAAAGTTTGATCATCTTAAGAAAATCATCACTAATTTAGCATTAGCATTAGCATCGAACAAGTTGTACAATATCGTAGGTGGTACGAATTCAAAACTATGAAGAGCAAGACGGATATCTTAAGAAAATCATCACTAATGATACCAAATTCAGTGATAAATTCAAATGTTGTTTAACTAAATGGATAGTTCCAAGCCCTATAGACATCATGAATACAACTTGAATATAAATTGGCTCCTAGGTTTAAAAAATGTTTGTTTTATAACCGAAAGAAAGCCGTTGTAAAATAAGTACCCTATCGGGGTGGTCTGAACGATCCAGAAATATAGAAAACAATATAGTTCGTATGCCTCCGCCATGGCAGGACGGCCAAGCACAAGTCTTTATTAAAATATGCGGTCTCAAACAAGATTCTGATAAGGAGACAGAAAAGAAGAAGAAGCTTTGAACAGTAGGATGATATACATACGAATAGGGGAAAGTGGGAAAGTTTGATCATCTTAAGAAAATCATCACTAATTTAGCATTAGCATTAGCATCGAACAAGTTGTACAATATCGTAGGTGGTACGAATTCAAAACTATGAAGAGCAAGACGGATATCTTAAGAAAATCATCACTAATGATACCAAATTCAGTGATAAATTCAAATGTTGTTTAACTAAATGGATAGTTCCAAGCCCTATAGACATCATGAATACAACTTGAATATAAATTGGCTCCTAGGTTTAAAAAATGTTTGTTTTATAACCGAAAGAAAGCCGTTGTAAAATAAGTACCCTATCGGGGTGGTCTGAACGATCCAGAAATATAGAAAACAATATAGTTCGTATGCCTCCGCCATGGCAGGACGGCCAAGCACATCGGTGTGTTTCATTTCATTTATCCGTACTTATCCGTATCAAAACACAACGTAGGGATCCCACCCGTGCGCGATCATAATGGTGCCGTGACCAGGATCGTCGACACCGTCCCGGATCCAGCATCCGTCGAAGCACGTGGGACGATCTACTGGGCGCTGCCATTTTGCTCCCGCCATACTGCTGGCGGCGGATTGAATACATACAAGACTCGATCTATCGGGCAGCAGGTGATTAGCTGTCCAATTGTTTCTTCTGGTACTTTGGTCGCTTGTACACAACTTGGACACTCTTATCGGCCGGGACGACTCCTAGGGTCTTCTTGTGAACCAGTCCGCTGTAGCGGTACGAACTCAGGTTGATCAGGTTGTTGGCCTCCTATAAAGAAGTGTTCGTATCGTGCTGAACGGCTTATTGATGTTTCGGCGCTTCAGCAAGAAAGCGTTGTGATCACGGATGATCAACCAGTTCAGATGGGAAGATGTATCGGCCATTTTTGATTACCTACTTGCGTTGGCTGACAAGATGGAAAAGACTCGTTAGGTGACAGTGATCCACAGTTGAAAGAAGAGTACCACAGTTTCATGAAAGAGTACCTCTCCCTCGGCAATACGCGACTGGTCGAGACGGACGACGGATCTAGCTCACACATTTACTATCTACCCCACCACCCCGTTATAAAAGAAGAAAGCAGGACCACCAAGGTCAGAGTCGTTTTTGGCGGTTCGGCTCGTACTTCGACTGGCTTCTCATTGAACGAAGCCCTATGTGTGGGTCCGGTGGTCTAAGATGACCTTCTTTCAATTATTTTGCGATTTTTTACCTATCCTGTGGCACTCGTTGGAGACATCGCAAAGATGTATAGACAAATGCTGCTGCATCCCCAAGATTGTCCTTTACAGCTCATACTGTTCCGTTTTGACAAGAATACTCCCGTCCAAACGTTCGAATTGCGAACCGTAACCTACGGCTTAGCTCCATCCTCCTTTCTGGCAACCCGTACGCTCCAACAGCTCGCAATGGACGAAGGCCATGCGATACGTTGGGTGGCCCATCGCTGCGCAAGAACTTCTATGTTGATGACTTCATCGGAGGTGCTAATACGGTCGAAGAAGCTATCCAGCTTCGGGGGGAGCTTCCCTTAGCTCAGTTGGTAAAGGCGCAGCTACAAAGCAAGACCATGCTGGAGGCGGCTGGGTTCGATTCCCGGTCCGGTCTAGGAACTTTTCGGGTTGGAAAATTTCTCGACTTCCCTGGGCATAGAAGTATGATTGGACTTGCCACACAATCATGTCAATGCAAAAATGGTACAGGCATCGAAAGCTCTCAATTAATAACTGTGGAAGTGCATCTAGAACACTAAGTTGAGAGCACGCAATAATCCAATATGCGATATGCAATAAGCTTAAAATGCGAAGAAGAAGAAGAAGGGGGAGCTATCTAACTACTCAACAAAGGAGGATTAGAACTGAGGAAGTGGACCTCAAATCCTTTGGAAGTTCTTCAAGGCCTCGAAAGCAACCAGATCGGAACGCAATCAAGTCTGCAATTCAGCCCAAACGAAACCATCAAGACACTGGGCATTCGTTGGGAACCTGAGATGGATCAACTTCGCTTCGATTCTCAAGTGCAGACACGCGACGACCCTCCCACGAAACGATCCATCCTATCTGACATCGCCAGATTGTTCGATCCTGTTGGTCTAATTGCACCAGTCGTCGTCAAAGCAAAAATTCTCATGCAGGAGTTGTGGTCGCTTGCCTGTGAGTGGGATGATCCGGTGCCAAATGCCATTCGAGTGAAGTGGGAACAGTTTCGGAACGAGCTACCGAAGATCTCCGTCTACAGAGTTGACCGTTGTGCATTCCTACCAGACGCCAGCGTGGAACTACACACCTTCGCTGATGCCTCGACAACTGCCTATGGAGCATGCGTTTACGTTCGCTGTACAAACACCCAGGGAACAGTGAAAATAAGATTACTAGCTTCGAAAAGCAAGGTCGCTCCTTTGAAACGGCTGTCCATCGCCTGGCTAGAACTATATGCTTGCGTATTAGCGGCGCATTTACATCATCGCGTGAAGGAGTCTATCGGCGTACACGTGTCGGCATCGTACTTCTGGTCCGACTCAGCGGTGTGTCTGTACTGGCTTCGCGCACCACCGAGCACATGGAAGACATTTGTCGCGAATAGAGTGTCTGAAGTACAGCACTATACCCATGGAGGAAGATGGCATCACATATCTGGAACGGAAAACCCGGCCGATCTAGTGTCTCGTGGGATGTCAGTCGATGAATTTATCAGCAGCGAAGTTTGGAAGCATGGCCCAGCCTGGTTGGCGCATCCTCAGCAAACTTGGCCAATTTCGGATGCAGTCACCGCACCTGAGGAAGAATTGGAAGAAAATGTCGCTGTCGTATTAGTTCAAACCATACCCAGCATTAATCCATGGTTTCTGCGGTGGTCAACGTACACACGGCTGTTACACACAATCGGTTACTGCCTTCGCTTCGCAAGCAGAACTTGTTCTAAAGCCATAACCCAGCCACTTGCATCCCCCCAAGAGAGCCACATTAGCCCAGAAATGCTTACCGTTCAAGAGCTTGCCAATGCCAATACACTTCTTGTCGGTTTGGCCCAACAAGATGCGTTGAAGGAAGAAATCAGGGAGCTCCAACGAGGAAATCCCGTTTCAAAGCATTCGTTCACTCGACGCCAATGGGAATCATGCGCGTTGGTGGTCGGCTCAATCTTTCGCAGCTTCCCTACCAATCGAAACACCCTGCCCTCCTCCCTAAGAATCATCCGTTCTCCCGGCTGATCGGTGAGCATTACCACCGTCAACTTCTCCACGGTGACGGGCGTCTGCTGTTGTCCACGATACGCGAGGAATACTGGCCTCTCAATGGCAGAAATCTGGTCAAAAGCATCATCAGGAACTGTTTCCGCTGCTCACGTCATCGTCCGGTCCTTGCACAACAGAAAATTGGACAGCTACCAGCGTCAAGGGTCATCCAAAGTCGTCCATTCGCAGTTACAGGTGTTGATAACGCCGCTATATTTGAAGCCAATTCACAAACAGTAATATTCCCTTCTGTATTCGAGATCCAAGGAAGGGAATATTCCCTTTTATTAATGAACACTTTCTTAGCGATAGGTAAAGCATATTTTTGATTCTTACTTACTAAGTTAAATTCTCGAATTACAAAGTACTAGATATTCCTTAAACAATACTTATAGTAATGAAAGATAAATTGTTCTGTCAGAAAAAATCGTCTACCGCAGCATGAAGAACATTTTTAAAAAAATGGCACGTGATTGCTTGAGTACTATAATAAGTGGAGACCTGCGAGGGGATCTGGTTCGTTTGGCATAAGTACATTTGACACAATGCACACTTGGTATAAGGGACCTGGTATTTAAGAGATAATATTCAATCAGTAATTCCTCCTTTTAATTGCATCTAGTTCTTTCGTAAACAAATGTTTTTTAACTAACTTTAACAAAGACAGAAGTATTTTTTGAACAAATGATAGAAAAAGGAGCATTTCCTTCTTTGATTTAATAATGAAGAGATGGTTCTTGACGGCTTGAGGCTCGGTAGCTTTATGGTTACCGTCTCTGCTCACTGAGCAGAAGTTCCGGGAGTTCAATCCCAGGCCAGTCCCCTTTCTTGCAATTTTTCACTATGCCTTATTCTATCCCCACTAGATTTAAATAAAATTAAAAACAGTCTACTGTTTTTAAAATTAACCCAACCCACTAACAAACTATCCTTCCTGTGGCAATTGTGGAAAATGCAGAGGTAGACTCGGTCTCTAGTTACAACGTCAAACGTCCGCCTGATGCAATCCTGGCTCACCTGCAAATTTCCTTAGCTGCTCAGTTATCCACTTAGCATACATTTTATAAGCTACGGATATTCTTCTGAATTGGTCTGCTTCTGATGCCCCTGCTTTCTTTGGAATTGGTATTTGGGTTTTTTTTTCTTCCATTCGTTAGTCATTTCATTTCTAATGTACGCTTCTTCTTCTTCTTCTTCTTCTTCTTCTTCTTCTTCTTCTTCTTCTTCTTATTCGCATTTCAAGCTAATTGCTCAGTGCAC